TAAAATTGCAGCGTTAAAAAAAAACAGTATAAATTATATGCATGTGGTCTATAATTTTTTTGGTTGTCCAAAACTAATTGTTGATAATATCATTTAAAATTGTAAATTACTTCCTTGAGATGAATTTGAATTAGCGATCTTGATTTATACTCTAACAACCACTAGACCAAAACTCACTTACTTTATTTACAAAAATATCACTACGTTATTTTGCAAATATTGTTTAAAATTATGTTTCCCTAACAAATGAACATTTGAAACTAATGAGTAAGAAAACAACGGTAATCAAACCATTAGCACYAATAAATWATRYTWCCYTWWCRWTGCCAACAATACTAATAAATGATATTTACTTTATTGTCACGAAAAAAGGAAATACAAATTCGGGCCACAATGCGAAGGTTCGATGAACCAAAGGAGGCTAATTAAAGGACGAGAAAAACTTAATGAGGTTTGAAAACGACCAAATTAGCAATTAACGATTTTTTAGGCCACCGTGGAAAAGCTTCTAACAGCCATCTGTTTGATTTCTTATGCCGTCGCATTCAAATTGTTTGGCAATTTTTATAATTTTTTATTTGATTTATAAGGTTATTAGATTTCAGATAAGATCTTTGTGTGGACACATAAAGGTTTATATCTATATTTAGCCTTTTGCATGTGTCATGTGTGTATTTTATGCACATGCCTATTGTTTGATCGTGTGTAGGTGGTTATGCATTGTTGAACTAATTACCAGATAAACAATTGACTAAATTGTTTTAAGGAATTCTGGTATAGAAAAAATTGAATGGCCTAACTGAAGACGAAATAAAAAATTTACGAGCGGAGATTCAAATAGACATCTATGATTTTGTTGAGTTATCTCGGAATTTTATCCTATAAATTCATCTTCAGTATATATAAATATATTGTTGATAGCTGTGTTAATCTTCATGATTGTTTTCTGATTTAGGACTAAATTATAAGTAATATGCTGATAGTTGTGTTATTTCGTTGATGTCCCATGCTATTTTGCATGTGTCATGTGTGTGTTTATATATGATAGCACGTTCTTAACCGGGAGATTAGCTAGAATAACTTACTTTTTTTAAAAAATAGTTAGAATAATTTTATTATTTTTTTTATTATTGAAATAATCTATTCTAGATTTTTTTTTCTTTCATAATATCAAAATTGTCCTTCGGAGACTCTATCGAGGTATTGGCAGACTCTGCCGAAACATTGGCAGACTCTACCGATGTATTGGTAGACTCTGCCAATATCTAAAAATACGCAGATTCTGCTAAAACATTGGCAGACTCCGCCGAGGTACTGACAGGCTCTGCCGAGGTATTGATAGACTTTGCCGAATTATTGGCAGACTCTGCGGAAACATTGGTAGACTCTGCCAATATCTAGAAATACGCAGACTCTACCAATATTTAGAAATACGCAGACTCTGCCAAAACATTGGCAGACTCTGCTGAACATTAGCAGAGTCTACCAATGTTCGGCAGAGTCTACTAATGTTTCGGCAGAGTCTGCCAATACCTCGGCAGAATTTGCCAAAAACAATTTTGGTATTATGAAATAAAAAAAATCTAGAATATGTTATTTCAGCAATAAAAAAATGATAAAGTTATTCTAGCTATTTTTTAAAAAAAGTAGGTTATTCTAGGTAAATTTTTTTTTTAAATTGTATATTCTTTTAAATATATTAAAAACATTTTTAAAAGGTATTAATTAGACATTTGTTCCACGCATGTCGACACACATATATACGCCCTTTTGTAGAGTGTTGAAAAGAAACCGCAAGTAATGTATGTAGGATTTGATTTAATATGATTGACCAATGATTAAAAATCTTCAAATACTGAAAAGTGAAAAAAAAAACTATCAAAATTCTCTCTACAGGTATCAAGGAAAATACACCAAAGAAAGATCGAGCTAGGAATGTAAGTGGAAAAGAATCAAGCATATATATCAATGGCGTGTAGAGACAAGAGTCCATCGGTGGAATGACATAACTGATAGTCTGTTGTCGTGCCTAGATTTATAGGGGTCCGAGGCGAACTTAAAAATATTATTTTTTAGATATGATTTTAACCACAATTATAATTTAATTTCAGATGATTGTTAAGTATCAATAACAAAATTAAAAAAAAAATAAGTTTTGAAACTAACATTTACCAAAAATGACAAATACACTAATTTCTCTCTTTGATCCGTTGGTGATTATTCTGTTAGAAAATTCGATATCATGTTTAGTCATCTGTTATCGCTTGAGTTTCAACATGTTCTTCATATGATTCTCTCGGTGGCTCTGTACTTTTCTTCTCTTATGTGGCAACCTCATTTATCTCTTCTTCATTCCCCAACACAATGTGAGGTGCTTTCCCTTTTTCTACATCTCGCAGAACAGATTCATAGTCAACTCCAAGCTCACTCGCATCTTCCTTATCCTTTTTTCACTTCTATTGAATATGTTCCTTCGCTTTCCCTCCCATTTTTCTTGCCGGTTTAAAAATGGTTAATTTTATATTCGGTCGAACAAATTTGGCGCCTAATAATAGAGTTCTACTGTAACAATTTTGGTTCGAGTACACTCTCTTTTTTCCAACAATGAGCATCCCAAAATATAATCAGAAGAAAACAATTCATATTTTGATAAAAATATATCAGAAGTGTCAAACTTTATAGTGAGTTAATTCACATATGTCATAATTCCGTATATGAATCTTTTCCCCTTTTTTTTGTTTTCTTTCTTTCCTCTTTGTTATCAACTATTTAATCTTCTTCTTTAACAGTTTCATGACTTTCTGCCTTTTGCTCGATTGGAGGTGATTATGCTGGTAACTTGGACTCTATGACCTGATAAGAATTATCTCCAACATTCTTTGAAATTTCAAAATCTTCTCCGATGTTGAAGCATTTGAATCTAGTTGAGTGTTGCGTTCTTCTTGCTTCATGTCAATAGAAATCACATTCGTTGGGTCTTCGTGGATTTATTTAGTTTCTCCATTGTCATCATGTTACAACTTGTTTTCTTCTATGATCTCAGAAGCATGGGCTTCCGCGGCAACTGTTGTATCCTGTTTTTCCTTGCTTACCGACTCGCTTATATCAGTAGCAAGCTGCATTTCCAAGGTTTCTGATTCTACCTTGATTGAATGCAAATCATTCCCAGCATCACCTGTCTTTTGTGGGAATCATTGATTGCTCTCTCATTCTCCAATGTAGTCTGAATTTGTGTAAAGATTCCAACAACCAGACGAGTTGAACTACCAAAGAGCTAGCTAGCATCTTGTTTGCTTCTTGTGTGTAACCTGCCCATTTACATTCTTGCACTTGCTCGTACACCACGCATATTTACGTCTTCTGATTTTAAGATAGAAGAAGGGAAGACATGTACCTCCTTAAGTGAAGAAGTTGGGGATATATATGCCACAGACGCAACTACTGAAAGTGACGGAATGATCGTCTCATCGGATCTGGATTTATCAGAGACGTAAACGTTCGTTAGTCTACAAATTAAGATAAACGTGGGTCCATATATTAACTGGAATCAAAGGCACTCTAACCCAACATAAAAGCTAGACGCAGAGAGGGCGTAGTCTTATTCCTCTTTTCATGGCTCAGAATTCCCCTCCTAAGTGTTCATTAGAAGCTTGGATCAGTTAAAAATCTCATATAAAATATAAAGCTCAAGTAAACCTCTACCTAAAGCCTATATTTCGGTATTTTAATATCAAAGCTTATACTTCTGTTCATGGTTGAATATGAAGTTCAAACCTTAGGTAGAGAAACCAAAGCTTTCTCCTCGAGCTTGTTTTTAGGAACAGTCTTTCGAGCAGCTTCTTGACGGTATGGATCTTTATACTAAACAAAAAACTGCAATCACAATATCAATACACATCTCCAAGATTCTTGTACAAAAGATCCAAAGAACCTAATCTAGGCTATCAGAGACTATCACCATGAGTGTTTACCTTTTCTTTTTATAAGGCTCATTCTCCGCTCGAATTCACTGCTGCAACATACTGTTGAAACATCATTGCCTCTTCTTCTGCCTGAAAGCAAGAAACCAAAAACAAAAAGAGCAACCAAAATTACTTGAACATCATCATTAGTCAGTTGATGCACATGAAGAACAAAGAAAGCGATCAATACAAAATGTGATTCAACCATATATAAACCCATAAAAGCAACATACAGAAAACCGATGAACGGTTCTCTTCTGAGGTTGAAATTACGTAGGGTATAATTGAGGAAAATCATTTATTTGATGGGGGGTTTTTTGGTGAAGATGAATCGATTTTAGAAAGGAAAGCAGCTGGAAGAGTAAAAGGTTTTTAGGGTTTTATTTAGCATAACCGAAATCACAAATCAAAGCTTGCTTAAACGTCAATTTAGAATGCTAATCCATCTGACGTGGCACGTTTTTATAGCATTTTTTTGTTGCTTAGGTGGAGGGCTCAAACAGCTGCTATTAGTTAGTATAATACTACAATTAATATTTAGAATATAGAGCCCTAAATAACATAAAATCATCCGGAACCCCGAGGCGAATGCCTATTTAATACAAAAGGAGGCACGGCCTTGCTGATAGTCGTCAGAAGTCACTCTCTCGTGGTTCTAGAGGGTGTTTGTCTTGGCCTCATAACATATCGGCATCCACGATAACTTGAACAAAACTTGGTCTGACCAAATATCTAGCATCTCCACTTTACCATCGTTTTTATATGGATGGTTTCCTTTAAGGTCGATCTTATGAATCTTGGCCCATGCACATTCTTCCATCTTCCAGATCTCCATGATTTGAGATGGGACTTGGTAATCTATCATCCATAAGTTTCCGCGGCTTCCAGATAACGTAAAAAGTCTAGATTTTTGTGATCCTTGTGTGTCAAGGCGGAAGCAAGGAGGTTTAAGGTTTAGGGTTGAGAAAGTCTCGTCTTGTAAAGAGAAAGACACGATCTGAAAATCACTGGTCCAGTAGATGAATCCATTGACGTGAACCCGAGAAGAGAGTTGCAGCAGATAAGGACATGGTCTATGAAGCCTTCTCCAACGGGATACTTTAAGGCGACCATCTTCCACAATATCTATATTCAGTACCTCAAACTTGAGATCAACTTTCATCCAAGTCGTGATGAGACCACTTAGCAACCTTCTTGTACGGTTCTCTTCCAAGTCTTGAGGCCACTTGACGACTTTGTACTGCTTCGTGGCGTCTACAAAACCAAAGGAGACTAGACACTCGTAGTTAGATATGTCGAAACACCATGTAGACAAAGTAGAGTCGGGTAATCTCTTCAACTCCTTGTTCACGGGGTCGCAAAGATGAATACCAGTTTCACTTGCGAATATAAGAGCTGGTTGTGAGAACTCAACGTTCTGATTCGACGGCCAATAAAGTCTAGCGTGCACTCATGGACGAGGTCATTGGTCTTGTTGGTCATATATATAAGAAATAGTATCTTATTTTACGAGACCCGCCCCGGTCAGGAAAGTCCACCGAGAAATCGGATTCTGTTGTATATTTTTGCTCGAGTGCCGTGATTGTAAAAAGGGAATCACGTGAATGGTTGTGGTGGAGACTTAGGAAACAAGGATCAGAGAAGAGAGACCTAAATTGCTTTGAGACTAATCGGAATCTCGCTAGGGATTTTCCTGGAACTCGAGACATGATCTCAGTAACAAGTTCAATGGGAAACTAAATTAGAGAGACCATTGTTGTTTCTACAAGCTCTTCTTGATTTGGTTTTGGTGCTTTATGCGTATATATTTGATAAGGGAATTTGTACAGTGAAGATTCCATATATGTATTGATAGAGACACGAGTCAATGTTCTCGAAGAACAAAGAAACGATACAAGCTCAAAAGAGCGATTCTTCTGGAAATTCCAGAGAAGAACAAAGTCTAACAAGAACAACAATTTCAACAATTTTCGATTATGATTCCCAAAATCTGCTTCTGCGTTGCTTTTAAGCACTTGAACTCATGGATTCATTTGAGCCGTTCATCTTCTGGATTCATCTCAAATCCCCCATCCTCCACGCGCTTCATCTCTTTTCCTATAACA